TAACCTTCTTGTTACATGGAGAAGGTTGGTATTCCAAATCCTCAGAGAGAGAGAGAGAGAGAGAGAGAGAGAGAGAGAGAGAGAGAGAGGGAGCAATATCCTGTAGAAGAGTCACCGAAGACAATAATTCCCTCAAAGATCACTGTGGCACCACTGCACCCATGCTCACCAAGTCTCCTGAGACAGATGTCTCTCTGGTAACCACAGGAATGGCACGGAGTCCATCCCATTAAGAATGATTGTCAGAACAGTTGTGGCTTATTAAGCAATGCAGAGACCTCATGTTAAGCTGTCGACTCTGTACTTCGGCACGATGACTCTGAAGCCTTGACTGGCTATGACGCCTTGACTGGCTCTGACTCGCCTCGTGTTGTTGTTGTTGTTTGTTCCGTCAAGGTAAAACACGCTGCTGATTGGTTACACTTAAGCGTTCTCAAACAGTGGCCATATTTGGCCGTCCTTGCCACACTGATGAGCCTGGGTGATCAACTCTTGCAGGAGAGTGAGGCAACTGGTTACTTATTTTGTAATCCAGGCGGAAAAATGCGAAGTTAATGGGCGATGTTGTTCTTTGTATGACCAGGGGAAGGAATATGATGTTAATGGGCGATGTTGTTCTATGGCCAGGGGAAGGAATATGATGTTAATGGCCGATGTTGTTCTTTGTATGACCAGGGGAAGGAATATGATGTTAATGGCCGATGTTGTTCTTTGTATGACCAGGGGAAGGAATATGATGTAATGGGCGATGTTGACCTTTGTAAGGCCAAGGGAAGTAATATGATGTTAATTGTCAATGTTGTTCTTTAATTGTAAACAAGCCAGGCCACCAGGCAGGGATGCTAGTGATAGCCATAGTAAACAAATATAATTAATTGAAGGGACTTTTTTATAGAGATTCAAGTCGAAAACAAATGTGTACAACTAAGATTAATATTCGCTGATCAAATGCGGAATAACCACACATGAAATAACAAATAAGTTCTGTGGGAGTGAAGTGAATGGTCGAAGGAATATTAGGACAATCAACTTAAGGTAAGGAATAGGGGAATAATGGGGGGAAGGAAGCCAATCAAACATTGGGGTAAAGCGGTGGGCGGGGAGAACTGAGTAGAGATGTGAATATATAAGATAAAGCATTATATTTTGTGTAGAAAAGACAGAATATATCACAATAATGAGGCTGAAAATGCCATCACATTTATTCCGTATTTGTGTACTCACCTATTTGTGCTTGCGGGGGTTGAGCTTTGGCTCTTTGGTCCTGCCTCTCAACTGTGTGTGTGTGTGTGTGTGTGTGGGGCTGTGTTATATGCAGGAGTTAATGCACTTCACCAAGACCTCACACTCCCAACCGGAATCTTGGGACAAATACTTTAAATGAAAGGTTTAATTCATTCGTGTAAAAAAACTTAGTGCTTAATGTTATGCGCTTATGTATTTTATTGTCTTATGCTGTAAGAGTCGGATATAATACCTGTGTGTGTGTGTGTGCACAATATCGGTATTGTGTTTGTGTTGTAACACTATTGTAATGCTGGTATTGTGCTAGTGTAGCAACGCTTGTGATACTGGTATTGTTGTGTGGTTACCATATTACAATACAGGTATTGTGCTAGTGTAGCGACGCCTATAATACTGGTATTGTACTGGTTTTGTAACAACTGTAATATCAGTATTGTGCTAGTGTTGCAACGCTATTGTAATAGCCGTATTGTGCTTGTATTGCAACCCACATTGTAATGCAGATATTGTGCCAGTGTTGAAACGCTATTGTAACACCGGTATTGTGCGAGCGTTGTAACTCCTTTCGTTCCCAATATTATTATTATTATCCGTCACCTGTTAAAGTTAACTTTGAAATTTGTGAGCTTGAATACTACTTTATTGTCAGTTAATCTGCAGCAACACCTGGAGTCTATACTGTTACTGAATACCATTGTCTTACTAGCCAAAATTCGTTCAATAATTCTGCATATTATTTTCATATATTTATAAAATACATCAGGTCGAATAAAATCTGTAATTGTTTAAAGTTCATTTAATATCAAAATACCTAAACAAAATTGTATCTGAGTGAAAACTGGAGACAGTAGTATCTGTAAATACATACTGAATGCTCCTTTTTCTTTTTATATATTGAATAAAATACAATTGATGCAATATTTTGATTTGTATTCATCTTATTTTCATTTCGATTAAGATTTTGATAGCTAAACACCTGAATTTTTAAGGAATTATTTGCACAAGTATTTTGAAGAATACTTGGAAATAGACTACAATTTCCAGTGTCGTAAATTAAATCACGATAACAAACTCAGCACTAAGTGAAGCGTAGCGCGTACTGACCTTGCTCTATAGCCTAGTTTTGCTTGGGGGAGGGAAGAGTGGTTAAACTTTAGCTCCTGGGTCCCGCTTCTCATCCTCCAATTGACTGGGTGATTGATTGATGAAGATTAAGCCACCACCCCAAGATGTTGATTACGGTTCAGGTCTGTCATATATATATACAAACCTGTTATATATATACATCCTACTTATCCCTGCTCCTTGTTTTCATATCCCTGCCAAGCTCCTTACAGTTATACTGGCTTAGCGCTTTGAGGCTGTGTGCTAAGTTTGCCTATCCCACTTCACTCTAAATAACAGTCCATATATTTACTGTTTTGACACTGAGCACATAATTCATATCTGGCTCTTTCGGGTTATGTACCACTTATGCCAAATTGTGGCATATCCTTATCTGCAATGTATGTTTATCTTAAGAATTTGGTTTGGGGGGGATTATTTATTCGCTAATATTGTTTATTCCAGTGAAGTGAGGCATAATTCCTTTAGTCTTTCCTTGTAACTCATACCTCTCAGCTCTGGGACTAGTCTGATGGTATGTATACCTTTTGCCCAACTTTAGGTTCGTTTTTTATTTTACTAAACAGGTACCTACAGCTTTTATGTGTGTGTGTGTGTGTGTGTGTGTGTGTGTGTGTGTGTGTGTGTGTGTGTGTGTGTGTGTGTGTGTGTGTGTGTGTGTTGAAGGATTTATCTTGGGATTTAGGCTTCGAGTTAGGTACTAGAACTAATAAGATTATCCAGCGCAATGTTTTTTATAGCATACAATCTGCCAGTAATTTTACAACCAGCTCCCCAATTACGGCTGGGTACACAGGAGTGAACAGTGAGGGAACGATGCCAATTAAGTCGTTTGATGTTGAGCTTAAGAGCTGTTCAACTCTGGAGGTTCTGCAAGACCATGACACCAGCTTACTTTTTTTTTATCTTTATTTAATAAAATACAAGCTAAATCATATATACATAAATTTACAAGGTAATACTACATTACATATACAGTTGTATAATTCTCAGTAAACAAGTGTTTTATATTGTCACCAGCAAGTATACGTTAGTCTACTTGCTACAAGTATACGTTAGTCTACTTGCTACAAGTATACTCAAGATAACTCAAGATAGTCCTAAACATGTCAACTCTCAGTGTATATTCAGGCGTGTTCGTCCTTGCTGCAGTTACCCCCTAAAGATGCAATAACAAATCCTGTACGTGTAACAAAAAACTTTATTTTCTCAACTATGAATACATTTTGTTCATAGTTGGACCTACGGTAGGCTATGGTAGGTGTTTTGGCTATGAATCATTTAGAGATGACCAGACCACACACTAGAAGGTGAAGGGACGACGACGTTTCGGTCCGTCCTGAACCATTCTCAAGCATCAACTTGAGAATGGTCCAGGACGGACCGAAACGTCGTCGTCCCTTCGCTTTCTAGTGTGTGGTCTGGTCAACTTACTTTAGCCACGTTATTGTGACTCATCGCCTGCAAGCATTTAGAGAGATGCGATTCGAACATAGAAAGCGAGAGAAGCGCTGTAAGAAACTTTAGAATATCATTGGTTGTAAGCCGTGTAAACAGTTTTCATTCATAAACAGTTAGAGCGGCGACTGGATTAAAGAGCATTTGACCAGTGTTGATGAGGACGGGCAGACGAAGAGTTGGACGTGAGCGCGTTGAGGGTTATGGGTCAGCCCGTCCTCATAAACATTGACCAGTAATCCAGCAACCGAATTCCCTGTCTATGAATGAAAAACATTTTACACGCGACTGAAAATTTATTTCATTATGTTCAAGTGTTCGAATTTCACCTCTCTAAATGCTTCACACACGAATTTAAAGTTAATATAATTGCTACCATAACCAAAACAGCTGATCTGTCACAGGCCTAACTATAAACAAAATTATAATATTCTTCATTATGTTTTCGATAAAATAATGTTTATGGTTGCACAGCACGGTAAAATTACCGAATGTGTAAGGACGGCGGTTGAGTAGACAGCGCTCGGGATTCGTAGTCCTGAGGGTCCAGGTTCGATCCCCGGTGCAGGCGGAAACAAATGGGCATAGTTTCTTCCACCCTGATGCCCCTGTTCATCTAGCAGTAAGTAGGTACCTAGGGAGTTAGACAGCTGCTACGGGCTGCTTCCTGGGGGTGTATGTAACGAAAAGGAGGCCTGATCGAGGACCGGGCCACGGGGACGCTAAGCCCCGAAATCATCTCAAGATAACGACTGCAGCTTGAAGATTCATAGCCTAAGGACGACTTGGTGTAACAGCTTACACCAAGTTACACCGACTTGGTGTAACAGCTTTGTATAAATATATATATATATATATATATATATATATATATATATATATATATATATATATATATATATATATATATATATATATATAATTGTGTGAGTGTAATGCAAATTTAAAAACTTCATCTAATAATACTTAAAACAAAATAATAATTTTTTGTTGTATCAAATTCCTCACCCCCAACTACTTTTAAATGATCACTATCAGTTGCGGGGTTAAAAGTGGGTAGGATAATTAGTGAGTTGATGTAGGAGTGAGCTGCGGCGGCTGCGGCGGCGGCTGCGGCGTGGGTCAGTCGGGCCCCGCCACCAAGCGGCCAGCTTCCCCACAGCGAGGCGTTATTACTCCACTAACTTACGACCGCTGCCACCCGTCGCCTCCGCCCGCCTCCTGTGTGCTAATTGTTCCTCCGTGGGGCCCATTTGTTCCTCCGTGGGGCCCATTTGTTCCTCCGTGGGGCCCATTTGTTCCTCCGTGGGGCCCATTTGTTCCTCCGTGGGGCCCATTTGTTCCTCTGTGGGGCCCATTTGTTCCTCCGTGGGGCCCATTTGTTCCTCTGTGGGGCCCATTTGTTCCTCTGTGGGGCCCATTTGTTCCTCCGTGGGGCCCATTTGTTCCTCTGTGGGGCCCATTTGTTCCTCTGTGGGGCCCATTTGTTCCTCTGTGGGGCCCATTTGTTCCTCCGTGGGGCCCATTTGTTCCTCCGTGGGGCCCATTTGTTCCTCCGTGGGGCCCATTTGTTCCTCCGTGGGGCCCATTTGTTCCTCCGTGGGGCCCATTTGTTCCTCCGTGGGGCCCATTTGTTCCTCCGTGGGGCCCATTTGTTCCTCCGTGGAGCCCATTTGTTCCTCCGTGGGGCCCATTTGTTCCTCCGTGGGGCCCATTTGTTCCTCCGTGGGGCCCATTTGTTCCTCCGTGGGGCCCATTTGTTCCTCTGTGGGGCCCATTTGTTCCTCTGTGGGGCCCATTTGTTCCTCTGTGGGGCCCATTTGTTCCTCTGTGGGGCCCATTTGTTCCTCCGTGGGGCCCATTTGTTCCTCTGTGGGGCCCATTTGTTCCTCCGTGGGGCCCATTTGTTCCTCCGTGGGGCCCATTTGTTCCTCCGTGGGGCCCATTTGTTCCTCCGTGGGGCCCATTTGTTCCTCTGTGGGGCCCATTTGTTTCTCCGTGGTACCCATTTGTTTCTCTGCGGGTCCCATTAGTCCCTCCGTGGTGCCCATTAGTCCCTCCTTGGTGCCTATTAGTCCCTTTGTGGTGCCCATTAGTCCCTTTGTGGTGCCCATTAGTCCTTCCGTGGTGCCCATTTGTCCCTTTGTGATGCCCATTAGTCCCTCCATGGTACCTATTAGTCACTTTGTGGTGCCCATTTGTCCCTTTGTGGTGCCCATTAGTCCCTCTGTGGTGCCCATTAGTCCCTCTGTGGTGCCTATTAGTCCATTTGTGGTGCCCATTTGTCCCTCCGTGGTGCCCATTAGTCCCTCCGTCCTCCCATGTTGCGCCTGTCCTCCCACCTAACACATCCTATCTCTTACGGAATCAATCCATCGGGTGAAAATGCTATATATATTATCACAAATTAAAGCACCGTAATATCGACGTTTTATAAGCATCAGCCTCGAGAGGTTATAGGCGGGTTGGTTGGGTTTGTACGTTTATGGTTAGGCTGTTGCTGTTGTTGTTTAAGATTCAGCGTCTAAGAACACAAAGTTCCAAGCAGCACGGGCTATGGTGAGCCCGTACTGGACTTACCTGGATCAGGAGCGGGGCTGTAACTGTGAAAAAAGTTGTGGTTAGGCGAAACAGTTGCATTATTTACGGAGTGGCGAGTCAGGAGAAGGGGGGAGAGGGGGGGGGGCTCATGTTCAATTTGTTCCCCCTCGGCAGGAGTAATTTGCTGCTCCAATTTGTTCCTCCACATGGGCAAATTATTTTTAGGCATAACTAATTTGTTCCTCAGCAGGCCAATTTGTGCTTTAGCGGGATTTATTCGCTTCCACTGTTTGTTCGATCCCATTGATAATTTGTTCCTCCACGTGGGGAAATTTGTTTTTGTCCTCAGGACCAGTTTGTTCATATGCGGTCTTCTCGCTCAGGCAGTTACTGAACATGGCTGAGTGGCCGCGAGGGCTGCCGCTCTCACCACAACGAGCCTTATGTTCTTCACAGTGGCAAGGTGAACTGTTATTTGTTACACGCAGAGATCACACTAATGTGATGCATCAAATGAACAAATACACAAGGGCCGTGACGAGGATTCGAACCTGCGTCCGAAGTTCAGTAGAACTTCGGTTTCAACCCTTTTAACCCTGTCGTAGCTCAGTCGATTAAGGCAGTGTCTGGGATGCTCCCGGACGCAGGTTCGAATCCTCGTCACGGCCCTTGTGGATTTGTTATTTGTTCCTGTGCAGGGCTAGTTTATTCCCCCTCTGGAATAAACTGGTTATTTTTGCAGGAAAAGTTTATTCCCCTATTTTAAAGATATATTCTACTATTCCGTCAGCTACCACAAGCATTCTTAAACATGAAAAAAATTAATTTAATTTATATATTTCAAAATTTATGTAGTCTCATAGTACAGTTGGCTTCGTTCTCGATTCTCAGTCTGGAATCCATAGTTCGATTCTCGGGCGGGACAGAAAGGGTCAGGCATTTTTTTCGCCTAATGTCTCTGTTCACCGAGTGTTAAATGGTACCCGGGGAATTGGGCAACTGTTGTTGGGTTGCATCCTGGGGGAGGATCAGTATAGATCCTCCCCCCCCCCCCCCCCCCCTCCCGGCTTGCGGGGAGCTCGATGCAAACCTACCTTGAACTTGAACCTTGAACCTAAAGTATAAAAATACGCAGGCTTCCTGTCCCTGGCAGAACGAATGATTTTTTGTATCTTTAGGGCCACATTATTCAGGATTACGAATAAATCTTCCAATGGGGAAATTGTGACATTCGACTCCTTGTTGGTCCAATTTATTCGCTAAGAGCAATTTCAGAAATTTAACCCGTTTCTTTATTCCGCTCAGCCGGTTGAATTTGTTAACGAGAACTGATTAGCAGTCTGGACCCAATTCACTGCCCATTTAATAAATGTATAAAATATATTTAAAACCTATTTCAGCAGTTTATCCTTAGTTCGCCATTTGTTTCATCAATTTATCATCATTCACAATTAATTTCATAGCTAATTATCAATTCATCGCCCAATTCATCAATTCACTATCAGTCTCATCAATTCGCTATCCATTTCATTAGTTTTTCATCATTTAACCACTCATTTCATTAGTCATCATTTTCAATTAATTTCATCTATTCACTATCAATTTCATCAACTTATTATCTATTCAACACCCATGGCATCAATGTATCTCCGTTACAGAATACATGAGTTAGTACTGTACATGATAATACATGACTGTAATACATGACATAATACATGACTGTAATACATGACAATACATGACTGTAATACATGACATAATACATGACTGTAATACATGACAATACATGACATAATACATGACATAATACATGACTGTAATACATGACAATACATGACTGTAATACATGACATAATACATGACTGTAATACATGACATAATACATGACTGTACTCCTCGTTTAGTGGAGCTGAGTCTAGTACTTCTCATTTTATTTCATTTTTGTTGTTGTTGTTTTAGATTTAGCTACTCAGAACGAAGTGGTGTCCATGTAGCACGGGCTATGGTGAGCCCGTAATTTTTTTTATTTCAGTCTATCTTCCTGTTTAGCTAGTACTTACAGTAACGAGGTGGACCGTCGTACACATTGACGTAATGGACAGTTAGAAAGTAGAATTTGGTACTATTTGGACAAACCGGAAAAGGTTTTTGTATTTATGCTGGTAATAAAGCCTAGCCTAACCTCCCTAGGCCTAATACACGATATATGAGGCTTAATATAGTACTGGAAAGTCTTGGGTATGGGGTGTGGGCCGGTCTTGGAGCGAGACATGAACCCAGCGATAGGTGACTTAAATGGGGATTTCGATGTGGATTCAATATATAACTTATTTAAGAATATTCTAAACAAAACACAGGAACGTAGTATACCATACAAATTGAATAGATCGAATACTAATGACCCAAAATGGATAACAAAGAATTTGAAGAACCTTATAGGTAAAAAGAGAGCTTGGTACAAAAGGATTAAAAATGGGGAGGTCACTTTAGAACAGGAATTCGTACAACTGGTTAGAAATGTTAAAAAAGAGATAAGGAAAGCAAAAAGAAACTATGAAGTTCGCATAGCAGGGCAAGCAAAGACAAATCCTAAAGGGTTTTTTCAGTTATATCGTACTAAGACTAGGGAAAGGATAGGTCCATTAAAAACTGAGACAGGTCAAATAACAGATAGTGATGAAGAGATGAGTAGTATTTTTAATAAATATTTTGTATCTGTATTTACTAAAGAGGAACTTAACAATATGCCTTCAGCCGAACAAGTCTATGTGGGTGGGGACGAGGACAGGTTGACGAGTTTAACAGTTACCAGGGAGGATGTTCTTAAACAAATAGTAAAACTCAAACCAAACAAATCCCCAGGGCCGGATGAAGTGTTTGCCAGGGTGCTTAAAGAATGCAAAGAGGAGCTTTGTGACCCACTGTCAACCATATTTAATAAATCAATAGAGTCAGGCAGAGTGCCAGAGTTTTGGAAAGTTGCTAATGTGATACCAGTTTTTAAGAAAGGAGATAGATCACTTGCGTCTAACTATCGACCAATTAGCCTAACGTCTATTGTGGGAAAGTTACTCGAATCTATAATAGCAAATAAAATTCGTCTTCATCTTGAAAAACATAAATTAATAATTGAGTCGCAACATGGTTTTATAAATGGCCGTTCATGTTTAACAAATTTGTTATCTTTTTATTCTAGCATTGTTGAGGCAGTTGATAGTGGTAAGGATTGCGATGTTGTATACCTTGACTTTAGCAAAGCTTTTGATACAGTGCCACATGAAAGACTGATTAAAAAGATAGAGTCTCATGGTATTGGGGGTGCTGTATTAAGCTGGATTAGGGCATGGCTATACCAAAGGAAACAGAGAGTTAGTATAAATGGAATCAAGTCAGAGTGGGAAAATGTTGTAAGTGGAGTGCCTCAAGGCTCTGTCCTGGGACCTCTGTTGTTTATAATATATATAAATGATTTAGATTCAGGTTTGAGTAGCAACATTTGCAAATTTGCCGATGATACGAAAATCGGTAGGGAAATTAATTCGGAGGAGGACTCACTATCACTTCAAGTTGATCTAGATAGGGTTCTGAAATGGTCAAAGGATTGGCAGATGCAGTTTAATGCTGATAAATGTAAAGTTCTGAGGTTAGGTAATGATGATAGAGTTACAAGATACGAGCTAGATGGTGTTGTGATTGCGAAGTCGGATTGCGAAAGGGATCTGGGAGTTATGATTAGTAAGAATTTAAAACAAAAGGATCAATGCATAAATGTTCGTAATAAGGCAAATCGGACACTTGGATTTATTAATCGCAGCGTTAGTAACAAGACACCTGGTGTGGTTCTCAAGCTATATCTTGCTCTAGTTAGGCCCCATTTAGATTATGCAGTTCAGTTTTGGTCGCCATATTATAGAATGGATATAAATTCACTTGAACGTGTCCAGCGTAGGATGACTAAGTTAATTCCCCAAATTAGAAATCTTTCATATGAAGAAAGATTAACAAAGCTTAAGTTGCATTCACTGGAAAGGCGAAGAGTTAGGGGTGACATGATAGAGGTTTACAAGTGGATGAATGGACATAACCGGGGGGATATTAATAGGGTATTAAAAGTATCAACACAGGACAGAACACGAAACAATGGGTATAAATTGGATAAGTTTAGATTTAGGAAAGACTTGGGTAAATACTGGTTCAGTAACAGGGTTGTTGATTTGTGGAACCAATTGCCGCGTAACATTGTGGAGGTGGGGTCCCTCGATTGTTTCAAGCACGGGTTGGACAAGTATATGAGTGGGATTGGGTGGTTATAGAATAGGAGCTGCCTCGTATGGGCCAATAGGCCTTCTGCAGTTACCTTTGTTCTTATGTTCTTATGTTCTTATATGTGTGCTATACTAGGCCTAGGAATATTTTAAGTTTGGGTTGTAGTTTTTGATTTTCGGATTCTTTATAAAGATAGACCACAGTCACTATAGCGACACCAGCCACTGTTCAAGGGGTAGGTAGACCTAGGGTCGAGTATGTGCGCCTTCACAACCTAGCCCTCACAACCTACCCCTTACAATGTACCCCTTACAACCAACCTACCCCCTCACAACCAACCTATCCCTCACAACCGACTCCC